GTCTGTCAAGTTCTTGTCTATTTGGGGGAGGAGCAATCCCAACAAAAAGAAGTTTCAGGACAAAGTTCCCAATGGAGGAGCATGCTGTGTGTTCTAGGCCCTCCAGGACGCCAGTGCGGCTGGAGCAGAGCTGGTGGGAAGAGATGCAGTGGTCACAGTACATAAAGTCAAAGATCTCAAGTCTCTGTGAGGGAAACGAGAAACCACTGCAGGGTTTTGAGCAAAGAGTCTGACTTACATTTAAAAGAAGAGCTAAGGCAGTTGGGGTGATGATAGGATGTAGGGGGCAAGGGTGAAACCAGGGGGCCTGTCAGGAGGCGATGACAGTAATCCAGGCTGGAGACGATGGTGGCTCAGAACAAGAAGGGTGGCCATGACAGAGGGCAAAGCGGAAGTGGTCACATTCTAGATATATTCTGAAGGCAAAGTCAACAAGATTTCCAGATGGATGGGACATGAGATATGAGAGAAAGACAGGGTCAAGGGTGACTCCAGGGTCACCTCAGAAGGATGGAGTTGCCTTCAACAAAGAGGTTTGTGGTGGGGGCCATGAGGAGTTTGGTTTTGGACATGTGTCAAACTGCAGTGAGGGCCTTCTTCTCAAAATCTTCTCCTGTCGTGCCTGGCTGTCCTTATGTTTCCCTCTTCCCTGGCCATATAAAGCCTGAGATCCTCAGTGTGGCCCAGGTAAGGCCCTGCATTGGGTCCCTACCACCTCTCTGGCTCCGTATTTGTACCAGACTTCCCTTTAGACTCGTTCTTCGGGCCACACTGGCCTCCTTTCAGCTCCTTGAACGTGGATGCTCTTTCCAATCTCCAGCACAAGCTGTTCCCCTGCCTGCAATGCCCCACCACCCTCTACTCCCGCTGCCCCCATTCTTCATCTCAGTTAAATGCTGCTCGAGCTTCAGACCTCAGCTCACACTCCATCACTTTAAGGAAACCTTCAGGTCTCCTCATATGCTCTCTCCTAGTGCACGACATTTGTTTCCTGTAATTATATAATTGTATGATTATTTGATTCACGTACTTCTTCCCACTAGACTATAAGATCCCAGGGGGCTGGATTCACATCTGTTTTGCTCACGTTATACCTCACGCAATATCTGGCATATACTAAGCACTTACTAAATGTCTGTTGAATGAATGAATTATGGTTTGTTACCCAATAAAAGAAAATGTCAGCTTATACATTTACTCTCTTTCAGAGTCTTTGTATAATTCTAATATGAGGACTACTGAACTAGAAAAAACACAAAGGAACTAAAACAACATTATCATTTATAATAATTACTAATATCATTATGCTCATTAAGGATCCAAACCATGACTGATCCCTTTCCTGTAAACTGTGGTGCTGCTCACCAGATTTCTGGTTCTCCTCAGAAACCAGCGTGTATTACACATTTGCATTGTCCATCCCCTTGAAGACAAAGTCACCTGACTTGTTTTGGCCATTAAAACATGAGCAAAAGTGATGTGCATCAATTCCAGGCAGAGGCATCTGAAAGCTGGTGTGTAACCCTCCAGCCCCACCCACCTCTATTCGTTTCCTGTGGCTGCCATAAGAAATTACCACAATTGGGTGGCTTAAAACAACAGAAATTTATTCTCTCACGGTTCCGGAGGCTAAAAGTCTGCAATGAAGATGTCAAGAAGGCCATGCTTCTTCTGAAGATTCTCGATAAGAATCTTTCCTTGACTATTCCAGGAATCCTTGGTGTTCCTTGGCTTATAGATGCATCACTTCTGTCTCTGCCTCCATCGTCACATGGGCCTCTCCCTGTGTGGCTCCTCTGTGTCCAAGTCTCCCTCTCCTTTCTCTTATAAGGATACCCGTCATTGGATTGAGGGCTCACTTTAACCCAGTATGACCTCATCTTAAATTGATTACTTCCGCAAAGACTACTTCCAAATAAGATCACATTTACAGGTCCTGGGGGTTACAACTTGAAAATAGCTTTTAGGGGGAAACAATTTAACCCATTACACCACCCTGCAGTGGCAATCATGAGGTACACGTCAGATGGAGCCTTCATCAGCCTGGGTCCCCGAGTGACTTCTGTGAGACAGGTTTGTGTCTCTCATTTCAGTCACATGTCCACTGAGTAGCGTGGCAGGCTGAATCACCTGCACCAGGTAAAATATTTATCCCTCTAGCTTTTTGACAACCACATTTAATTGATTCATGTAAATTAAATGTGTCTACATTGTATATATTTTCTTGTGGCCTGTCTCTGGACTGTCCTCCATAGGATATATTCCTGTTGATCATCAGTTATTTACTGAGTGCCTGCTATATGCCTATCATTGTGCTCTGTGCAAGAGGGATGCGTGGGGAATTAGACACAAGGATCCTAATCACATGGTGTATACAATCAAATCTGGTGGGTAAGACAGAAAAAACTATATCATTATTAGCTGAAATTCTCAGAGGACACCAAATAATACGACTTAATAAGGGGTAACCCTAAGAGGGCTCCCAGTCTGTTCTAGGCACTGTGCTAAGCACTCTACAGGTATTATACTCTTTAAACCCTGTGGAGGTTGTACCCCAGGGGGTTGGTTTTTATATCCATTTTACAGGTGAGGAAACAGAGGCTTAGAACGGTTTAAGCAACTTGCCCAACGGTCACTCGGGATTCCAATCCAGGTCAGTCTGATTCAAAAATGCAGAGTCCTATGGACTTTCCGGTGCTGCCTCTTCAATTCAGCCCATCCTTGATGGTCTGCTGGAATACAGTAGTCTACACTCTGAACTACACAAAGTTAGGTTCTCCTTGTACAGTTATCCCTGGGCTGAACAGGTCATGTGGTGATATCAACAGCTTGCAGTAGTAAGTAGAATAGAATCATTAAGCTACTCTTCGATTTCTGTTTCAGTGTTGGCAGGTTGGCCTTCCTACCTAATTGATTTTTATGAACTAATCCAAACTCAACCTTTCATATTTCCCTTTATAAGATGGAACTAACTTCCAGACTTCAATTTTCTAACTTGGCCATGGATGCAAATATTCGTCATATCAGGGGCCTTCATTTCTCCTCTAAAGCATTAAAACAATTAAAAGAAACAACAGGAAACCAAACCAACCTTATTCTTAAGTGTTTCCAACCTTGTTTCAAAACAGCCTTATGAAGTTGTGTTTTTCCAAACAGCCGTGTATGAAGCTATCCACTTTTGAAGTCTGATTTTCCTATATCCAGACATATCCTGTTTTCTATGCTTGGAGAAGCAGGGAATACCCAAGCTGGCACTCAATAGTAGCAAATATGAAATAGACCATTGAAAAAAGAAAAGTTGTAGGAATGTTCAAATCCATGTTGACTGGTTTTTACATTTACCCGGCAGCAGTCCCATGCTAGCGTTGGCGTGGAGACTGGAAAGGGAAACTTTCCACCAATCTGTCACTTGCTACTGTTTCCACTTATTTTACTATAAGTCCAGTTTTAACAAGTTTTCAAAAGTTAAAAAAGAGTTGGATTCTTTTTTTGTTTTCTGTTTCAGGACGTTTCTCAAACATGAAAACACGGGTAAGAAAGGTTTTCAAAATCAAAGATTTGGTTTTCCAGATATTCAGCTGTTTAACATTCAGATGACTGTCTGCTTTTTTCTTTTCCACGTTTTGTCTGAATGCTTTGGCATGGGGGAGCCCCGCAGTCTGAAAGTAACTTTGTCCCAGCTCTCCTCACTGTATTTATTAAAGAGGCTGAAAGATGCAACTGCTTTTCAACAATTTGTGGTCCTGAAGGGATCAGGGAAAGCCAGAGGTTCTGGCGATTCAGGAATAATTCGGGCTTCTCAAAACTGGGGTGGGAGCAAGTGTGGCGTGGTCACACCTAGGTATTCTTAAAGTCATCTTCATTGAGGAAAAACAGGCTGAGATTTGGAGCTAGGCTACTGTTAGAGATGGGGGGGGTGCAAATATGTCACTAGTCCTCTCATGGGCGGCCTAGAATCCAAGAGGTACTCAATTCATGTTTACACAAATGAACGAAACTCAATAATGCTGTATGGCATCTTATAACACTGAAGGGTGATTTTCCTGGGCTGGAAAGTAACAGAAGAGAGAGCTGCCTACCTAGGGCTTAAGGGGCCTCAGGCTGGCACCCGAAGCCAGGCGTTCTCATTTCCCTTTGGCATCATCCTGAACTGCCTGAAGCTGGCGCGATGCTCAAGAAGGGAGGAAACGCATGTGAGGAAAATCAGAGACGAGAGGGTCGGGAACAGATGTGAGCATAAAGGGAAAGCATTTGAAATGAAAGAAATAAATTGGACTCCCACAGCTGGAAGGACAAACCCCTCCATGTCGTCAGGGATGTGGGATTAGGGGTGATTTTGCTCTCTCTTTGTTCTTTTTCCCTGTCGTCCACGTTTCCAGTCAATGTGCTTGATGTCTGTCTTTTCTGTTCGGTTATTGGACCAGGAGGACAGACCCAGTGGCAGTACCTGGCATACAGCGGGCGCTCTGGAAAGACTTGCTGAACAAATGAGCACATTCAGAGGCTCTTGTCCCCCTACCCCCACCCCGCGCTCCCGCCATATGGCCAGAGCGCCTGGCACGTAGTAGGCGCTCCCCAAACATCTGTACAGCAAATGGGCTGCAAGTTTTCTGCGCTGAGCACGTGGAGCTTGGGAAACCAGGACAGCAAACGAAGTGTGTCTCAAACCACAAAAGCGATCCGGGCGCGTGCCACAGGCGGCGGCGGGCGAGAGGCGAG